CGGGGTTTCACCATGTTGACCAGGATGGTCTTGATCTCTTGACCTCGTGATCCACCCGCCTCGGCCTCCCAAAGTGCTGGGATTACAGGCTTGAGCCACCGCGCCCGGCCGAACAGGTTTTAATTTTTTAAAGCCACTTTAAATTTTTCATCCTATGATGGTATTGTTTTTATGGCAAGTTTTAAGAAAAAAAAAACCCATTTTGTTTATATCGTGGAAAGAAAGCAGAGTTGCACAGTTTAGGAGCTACTCTAAAAATCCAGGAAACTATTTGACAGCCCTATGCATGTTTCAAAATAGCAGATAAACTACTCCAATCCTAAGACGTTGTATAGAATAAGCAACATTCCTCCATTCAATTGTTGAATAAACGAATCTTAAAATAAATGATGACATCTGTTTCCACCTACTGCACCATTGTTTGGATATTTCACGGGCTTGTTTGTTCATATAGAATGTAATTTGAAAGGCTGATATTTTATTATGAACATATTTAGGTTGGGATTTAGCAGGGCCTACATTTTATGAAGGGGGCAACTTGGGGCCAAGCGTTCCCTATCCCAAAAGTGGAACTTACCAGAATTATCAGGGCATACGGCTTCTCGTTTGGTGCTACTGGAAATGCTCTTTGATTTGTTAACAGATTCTGCAAGGCGATTTAGGTCAGGTTTTGGAATCCTTGCGAAGTAATCAGATTTTAACTTTGACTTCCGCTAGTCTGACAAAGTACAGGAAGCCTGCTCCCTCCCGCTGTGGCCTGCTCTCACCAGCTGTTTAGAATGCGTTCTGCAGACTTCACCAGGGGCTCATGAGATATGCAGCTTTCAACACAGAAAGGTGTGTGTTGGTGTGATTTTGTGACTTTGAATAGATGTCAAGTACATAAGAGAAGCTATGTTTATTTTTTTTAAAAGGGAGAAAGTTGTGTAGTTCTTTTATTCCTGTTTTTTCATGAAGTCATAGATGTCAGCCAGCCTCTGCTGCATAAATTGCTAGATGTCTTTAAGAAAAAGCCTTGAGCTAGTGTCTACAACTTTAAGTACCAACCTTTGACACTCATAAATACTTTCAGCCTCTACAGTAAGCTGATACTGGTCACACAGATGGTGTCTCTCTGAAATCCAAACTTGCAAGTCAGTGAGCCAGCTTGGTATACATACATCCAACAACCAGCCCATTCTACACGCAGATGCAGGTGCTATCAGAAGTCGCATGGGTAAGTAGGTGAGCGTATGAGGAGGGAAGCACTTGGTGGCAGACAGAGGAAATGGATGGGAAAGGGGCCAAGAGAATGGGAAAATGAGCCGTTCTCATTGCCTTATTTCTTGTGATTCAACCACTTACTTTAGTGACAAGAAATATAGATTCTGTCCCCACTTAATCATTGAAACTGATATCTGCAAACCCAGTGGATTTTTCTTCAATCTTTATTCTCCTTAACACCTTGCAGAATGTGACAGTCTTTATTTAGGAAAAGAAAGTCCAATTTTTTATAAAATCTCCCTCTCTCTGGGCTTATGTGGCACCAACTGTCTTGATCCTCCTGCTGTGAATACTTACTGTCCTCCTTTCTAACCAGCATTTCTCTTACCTGCAACGTTTCATCCTCCCCAGCCTCACCCCCACCTCACATGCAAGTCTGGCTTCTCTGCTCTTGCCCTTAGTGATCTCATCCGGTGTCCTGTTTTTGCTTCTCTCCACCGTGCAGATGATTACTAAATCATGTTAGATCGCCTCAGCTTCTTTGCCAAGTTATAGATCGATATCCATGAGTAGTGGAAAGAGCTAAAAGATTGGAATCTAAATCAAATGACATCACATATATGAAAACTCTAAGTGCTATACAGGTGCCAACTCTTATTCTCTGTCTTCCATAGCTTTCAAGCCACTTTCATTCTTCCTAATACCTTCCTGACATCTCCTAGTGGCCCCACCTTCCAGTTAAACAGGGAAAACATTGTGACGCCATCTTTGCTTTTTCTCTCTCATTCATCTTGTCCAACTAAATGCCTCTAAATACTACATTTCTGACCGTCTATTGGATCTTTCTCTTCTTTCTAACTCATCACACTCACCACTAAGCAAAATGGTCTTCTCATGCCCATTTCCCATTGTAGCACTTGACTCAGGCCTCAGCAAACGTTCATTGCTTACCAAAACCAATACAAAGTTTTCCACCCAGTATTTGAGCTTCTCCATAACATAGATCTTCTATGCCTCTGTGGCTTATTTACTTGCCACTCTTCCTATTCAATCACTATGCCCCTGCCAAATGGGTTGATTTTTATTCTCTACAACCCCTCCAAACATTCCCACTTCTAGATATTTGCTCAGGGCTGTCTCTCCAATGGGATGAATGCCTTTCCATCTTCTCCCCCTATCCTGTCTTCAAGGCAATATTGGTCTGGGTCCAGGCTGGAAAATAGATTCCCACTCCAGATGTTTCAAACACAGAGAATTTGATACTGGGAATTGGTTTCCAAGGTGCTGGAAGGTTGGAAAAGTCAATGGGAGAAACAGAGGGGTTAAGGGACCAAGAAAAGAAGCCATAGCTAAACTCCCTTGGGCTGAAGTCCCTACATTTACACCTGCTGCTGTGGGGCCTGCCAGTTCTGGATATACAAAGGGACATGACTGGAACTGCTGGAAAGGCACTGGCACTGCCTCTGCCTGACTGCTACAATCTGGAATTCTCCTCCTCCCTGCAAGCCCTGCTGCTGCTCCAGCACCCTCCAGCAGTCTTCAGTCTCAAAACTAGAGCAGGACTCTTCTCTCTGCTGCTGTCTTTGAATTTTCCTCTGGACTCAGCTAGCAAGGGAGCCTAGAAAATGTAGTTTTCAGATATCTGGTCCTACTTCTACAGAACAGAATATAGAAGGGCAGCTGGGGATGCAAAACAACAGGTAAAAAGCTGGACAAGGGCCCAATACAAATACTACATATTTCCTGAAGCGTTTCTTGACTCCCTGCCTCTCCCTGCCTCTCCAACACCACCAGCTCCAGGAGACTTCTCCCTCTTCTGAATTTTGTCCACAGGTCTCTTTGAATTCGTTTAAAATACATTTGTTGAGGAACCCCTCTGTACCAGGCACTGTGCTAGGAGCTGGAAATACAACTATAAGAAGACAGACTTGGCTGCCATTCTTCTAGAACTTCATGGAGTTTAAAGACTAGTTGAGGAGACGTACAATTAAATAAGCAATTACATGTAGCTTGATGAACATTAAGACCGGGGAAGTCAAAGTGTCAGGGCACATATGAATGATATTTAAACCAAACTGGAAGGGTCAGGAGGTGTTTCCAGGGGAAGACAAAGTCTGAAGCCAAGAAGCAAGGGCCAGGGAGAAATGCTTTTGACAGTAGAGAGAGAGCACTTCACATGCAAGAACCAGAATGCACATGGTGTAGGCAGCATATGTATTTTGAAGGGGAGAATGGGAAAGAGGAGAATGGGGAGAGATAACAGCTAGGGAAGACAAGAGGCCTCATAGAGCACAAGCCTGGTGAGCCACATTAAAGTTTGAACTTTAAGGACAATGGGAAGCCATTGAAGGTTTATAGTAGAAATGTTACATGATCAGGTATTCATTTTAGAAGTTCATGTTGACTTCAGGGAAGAGAATAGGGCAAAGGGAAGCAGGACAACTATTTAGGAGGCTGTTAGAGAAATCAAGAATCGTGGCCGAGATAAGGTTATAGCATTAGAAAGATGTGGTGGATTCAAGCGGTGTTTAGAAAGAAGATTTGATGTGTGTACCTGGGAAACGGGAAGTCAAGGATGGATCCTGCACTTTTCCTTTACTAACTGCATGAACAAATGTGACACTGCTGAGATGGAGAATGTGCAAGGGTGATGTTTTGGGAGTGTACACGTTTCTTATTGCTGCTATAACAAATTATCACAAACTTAGTGACTCAACACAAATGTATTATCTTATAGGTCTGAATGTCAGCTGTCCATGTGGGTCTCACTGAGCTAAGATCAAGGTGTCATCATGGCTGCATTCCTTTTGCAGGCTCTAGGAGAGAATCCATTTCCTCACCTTCTCCAGCTTCTATAGGCCATCTGCATTCCTTGGCTCATGGCTCCTTCCTCCATCTTCAAAGCCAATAGAGTTGCATCTTCTTATCTCTCTCTCTGACTCTGACACTCCTGCCTCCCTCTTATAAGGGCACATGTGATTACATTGGATTCACCACATAATCAAGGATTATCTTCCCATCAAGATCCTTAGCTTATTCACATCTGCCAAGTAAGTCCCTTTTGCCATATTCACAAATTTCAGAGATTAGGATGTAGGTATTTTTGGAGGCCATTATTCTACCTACCACAGGGAGTAAGGGCACAAATATGAGTTCAGTTCTACACACACGGAGTTTGGTGAATATGGCACATCCAGGTGGGGATGCTGAGTAGAAAGCATGATAGCTGGGTCTGAACCTTAGGAGTGAGATTTGCTTGATCATCTAAATGTGAGCATCATCAAAGTATAGATGGAATCGAAAACAGGGACGTAGATGGGTCTCCCTTGGCAAAATATTTAGAGTGAAAAGAGAAGAGGAAACACCTTGAGAAACATTATCCTTCAATAGATAAGCAGAGAATCCTCTGAAGAAGAATGAAAAGGAGTAGCCAGAAAGGCAGGAAGGACTGGAGGTGAGGAGCAGTTTTGGTCTCTCTTATGGACCCCAGAGTCTCCCATCTCCACTTCTTTGCACATCTTCCCTCAAACCAGACCTTTACGATATTGGTGCACGCACCCTGCTAGCCACCAGCCCAGACTGACGATTGTCTTTTATTCCCAATTTAAAATTCCAGGAGAGAAAATATGATGCCCGCACGCTGAATCTAGGCATTGATCCACCTCCTACCACCTCATGATACGTAATGGGCACTCAATTAACATTTGTTAAATGAATATTTGTTGAATGAATGAAGTCAGAGGTTCACCCATCGTCTAACCAGCTATGACCACAAGGCATCATCACAGAGCACACACATGGCTCTGTGAAACCAACATGTATTGGTCCGCTCTCACATTACTATAAAGAACTAGCAGAGACTGGGTAATTTATAAAGAAAAGAGGTTTAATTGGCTCATGATTATGCAAGCTGTACAGGAAGCATGGCTGGGAAGTGAGGCCTTAGGGAACTTACAACTAGAGGGAAGGCAAAGGCGAAGCAGACACATCCTACATGGCTGGAGCAGGAGGAAGAGAAGGAAGAGATCTCTTAAGAACTCACTCACTATCACGAGAACATCAGGTAAGTCTGCCCCCATGATCCAGTCACCTCCCACCAGGCCCCTTCTCCAGCATCGGGGGTTACCATTTGACATGCGATTTGGGCAGGGACACAGATCCAAACCATATCACTGCCTCTGGGTGGGGAAGATTTCTATATGAAAGTATGGGCTGCACAGAGAGCCCAAAAGACAGCCACAGCTCTAAAGCCTACTTAGTTTAATTCCTAGCACAAGGCAGTCCTCAGAAAATCTCTGTGAACCCACCTCCTGGCTGGGGCTTTGGGAAGTTCCTGGCTGGCCATTAACAGGCAACAGAATGTTTAGTGACATATTGTGTGGCAGTAACAAACCTGCACAAGTTCCATTATCCATGGCAGTTTTCGTAGCACAAGCTT